GAACTGTGTGGCCCCCAAAATCTTTGGAAGTCCTAACCCCAGCACCTGTGATTGTGACCTTTTCTGGAAATGAGTCTCTGTATGAGGTCATGAGGTGAGCCTGGACCACTGGCGTCGCTAGAAAAAGCGGGAAGTTTGAATAGAGATTTGACTCCCACAGGGGGCCGTCACGGGAAGGGAGGCAGAGATTGGAGAGATGCCACTACATGCCCGGGCCGGCCTGCAGAAGCTGGAAAGACATGGCAGGGCCCTCCCTCAGGAGCTGCGGGAGAATACATTCCAGTTGAGGTAGCCACCATTTGTGGCTAGTTTCTATCGCACCCCTAGGAGACGGAGACCATATCCCACAGCATCTCGATTCAGTTTTTCTGAAGGTTAAATCTCTACAAACATACTAATAAGTCCCAAACTGACAGCCAGGGGCGGGGGTGCTGCCTCAGCCTCAGGCCTTGAGCAGAAGAATGAGCCTCAGACAGGGAAGAAAACACAGGCATCGTTAGCCTGGAAGGTCCCAGCAGTCCTCAGCTAAGTAAACACGGCAGGTGCCTGGGAGTAGAGGCACCTGTGTCGCTGGTTCTCAGGACACCTTGCCTGGCCAAAGCTCTCAGTCCCCTGCAGGTCCCAGGGAGGGGGCTTGAGGAGGAGGAGAAGGAAGACCTGGAAGCCAGGGCAAAGGCAGGTTAGCTGTGCATGGTGATGATGAACCCAGAAGCAGAAGCCCTGTGGAAACTGCCCCTACGTACAGCCTGGGCCAGGTGGCTCAGCCACATCTGGAGACAGGGATGCTGAGGCCCCGACTGAAGGGTGCAAAGAGACCATGGGTCATGGGCACGAAAGGTTAGTGTCCCAGAAGTGATGCCAGATGATATGATTTGTGTCCCTATTGAAACTTTAGCCCACGGGCACCAGTCCCCTTGCCTCCACAGAGCCTAAGCCAAATGCCCACAAAAGGGCCCTTCCTGCTCTCCACGGAGCAGGGCCTGAAGCCTTCCGCCTCTCCATCTCCAGGCAGCTCAGCCCCCCTGCCGCTGTGGGACAGGCGGCCATTCCACAGGCTGCTCCTAGGGTGACCTCTCCCACTGTCCTCTCCAGACCCAGGAGGCCAGCCCCTGTGGGAGGCAGGACAGGGTGGGAAGGCGGTAGGCTTGGGGAGCAGATGGCTATGGAGTCCCAACTCCTTACCTGATGGCTGAGGGGCCTGGGACATGTCCCTGCACGGTAGGAGCCTGGGTCTCCTGCCTGAGTATCACTGTCCCCAAAAGTGAGCAAGTGATGTTGTGTTAGGAGCCTGCCCAGGGTGCTGGCCCAGTGTGGCTGCAGGAGCTGAAGGCTCCCAAGGGCAGATGCCCTGGGAGGGAGAAGGCAGGGGCATGTGTGGTTCCCCACGGGAGACTGGCTTTTGGCAGGGCCTTTCCCAGAGCAGACCCAGGCCTCTCTGAGTCTCTGTGCTGCGGGCACTGCTACCGCTCATCCTTCACCTCACTTGGGACCATCCCAACACAGGAACCAGCTCAGGAGGAGAGAGAACCATTACCTCTTGGTGGGGCTGCTGCACAGGGAGGAAATGCTCTGCACTGACCCTCTGGTCACACCCCCATTGACTGTGGGAGGAAGGGAAGGCAGAGAGGAGGGCCCTTTGCCCCATACAATGATCAGGAGCTGGGGGAGCGGGGGGATGCAGTCAGTGGGGCTGTGGAACAGACAGGATCAGGCCAGAGGCCAGGAAAGAAGTGAGGACCCAGCAGGCTTGGCCTGCATCCTGGGTAGCTGATCAGAATCAGCTTTGGCCCTTAAGTCTCAGCCATGTGGCCACCCTCTTCCTGCAAGCCTCATGGTCCACTCCACAATGGAGGAAGGCTTCCTTGGGGAGATTCCTACAGGTCCTGCCTTCACAGAGCCCCCAGTCCAAAGCAAAGCATCATTGGGAAAACCAAGCCGCCCACCTCCCTGGCTCGGCAGCTCCAGGTGCCCCTGGGAACCTGGGCAGAGGCAAGTACCAACAGGAAAAGGCAAGGCTGAAGGCTGCAGCCTGGATTAGCTTGCTAGTGCTCAGGTAACAAAGTTCCACAAACGAGTGACTTCAACAGTAGAGATGTCTTTTCTCAGCTCTGGAGGTCAGAACCGCCAGAGTGTGGTGTCAGCGGGCTGGTGGCCTCTGACTTGGAGAGAAGCTGGCCCAAGCCTCCTCCCCTCAGCTGTGTAGGCACATCCCCTCCCTGTGGTTCTTCACACCCTCCACCCTCTGTGCTCACCACTCTCTGGGCCCCAAGTTCCCCTGGTCCTAAGGATGCCAGTCAGTCATATTGGGTTAGTGGCCCGCCCTTCCCCAGTATGAACTCATTGTAACAGATTTAACCTGCAATGGCCCAATTTTCAGATAAGGTCACATTATGAGGCACTAGGGGACAGGACTTCAATATGTCTTTTTTTTTTGGAGGGAGGGGCATAATTCAGCCCTGGACACCCAGCCTTCTTTGTCCCTACCACTGGGGTGACTGTTCCCTCGAGGAAAGAGAGGGGCAGGCGGAGGAGGAAATGGACGTGGATGGAGGGCAGGGACCTGACAGTCTGGCCAGTGCTCCCTGGCTGTGCTGCTCTAACCCAGTGCAAGGGCCCTTCCAGTGGATTTAGAGAACGTTCCCTCACTGAGAAGCTGTAACTGAGGCTGCAGACCAGGCAGTTCTACCACTTGGCACTCACTACTCCCAGGCGCGTGGAGATCGTGGCAAGTGCCAACAGAAGAGTGAGGCAGGAGGGCCCTGGGCCTTTGGAGCAAAGCCAATGACCCATGATTCTTTGAGATGCAAGTTTTGACTTGCTACTGTGCTCCACCTCAGACAGCACAGCACACACACTATGGGATACCATGTGCCCATGTGATCTGAATTGCGCATTGCAGACTGGGTGACGTGATGCCATAAAGTGGGGTGTGCCCAGCAGCACCCTCATCAAGGGGATGTGGATTTGCCTTGAGCACAGGTAAGCTGCCTGAACAGGTGGGTCACACTCCCGATACTCCCAGTCATACCTCCCACTTCCCCACCCCCGACCTACACAGTGACCTAATGAAGTTCCTTATGACACATCTAGCAAAATTATTCTCATTATATACTACTAAGGAAACTGAATCACAGGGTGTTAAACAAGTTGTCCAAGCCATCAGCTAGTAAGTGGAAGAGCTGAGATGTGAACCCCAGACTATGGAGGGGACACAGGATTGCTGGTGCACAGTGGGGACAGGAAGAAAGATGGATGGGCCCTGGGGGTTGCCTGAAGCATTCTTAAAATCACATGCTATTGTCACAGCTAATGGAAGAGCAGCACCACAGGCTGGCGTGGTCACCAAGCCCATATTCCTCAGGAAGGGTGGTTTGAGTCCCTGCACCAGGAGGAGACATAGCCCGCCACAGGGCTGGCTAGAGGCAGAGTGAACGTGGACTGGGGAGAAGGAAGCCTAGTGGTTGCGAGAGACCCCAGCAGTATCTGCATGCTCTTCTTTTCTGAGACATCACACCTGTAGGGAACCTCTCTCCTTTGTCTCCTCACTGCTCTGTCTCAATGGCTGTTGGTGGAAACCTCTGTAGTTTCTGCCAGGAGTTTCATAGTCACGAAGTAATGAAGGGAGAAGGGTTGTCTCTGCATCCTGATGGTCGCTGGCGACACTAAGGCTGGGCCCTTAGAGAGGGGTGAGCAGTTTCAAGTGTATAAAGGGCCATTGCACTATGGTGGGCAGCATGTTTTTTTCTCTCTTTGGACCTGTAGGTGAGGGAACAGTGGCAAAGCAGCAAACTTGGGTGGACTAACTTCCTTCCTAGGAATCCTCACCTGCTGACTCTCATTCTGGAGGCTGCCTGACTCTGGTGCAGCTGGGCGCCGGCAACAGACCTAGTTTTTCCCAGCCTGCTGCCCAGCGCCCACCCTAGAGCAGTGTCACACAGTTGCATCCAGGAACATTGGTTCTGGCACCACCAGTGGCAACAGTGACCACCTTCAACATCCCAGTTCTGCAGCTCACATGTCGGTAAGAAGGGCTCGGCTGTGACTAGCAGAAGGGCCTATAGTTCTTAAATGTCTAGGACCTGGAAGAGAGCAGCTGTTTGAAGGCACCCATGTCCCAAGCTCTGTCTTTTGTTCCCAGTGGCTTCCAAGATGGCTCTGTGCCTCCAGGCATCATGCTCAAGCAGCAGAAGCCCCAGCCTCTTCTGGACACTCTGGAGGGAGACCTCTGGTTTACCTCATCGGTCATACCACGTCCTGGCCTCCCGCTGATGCGAGGGAGGCTAGGATTGACAGATTTTACTTGCAGGTCTCCACCTTGGGGAATTGCAGGATGCAGGGGCTCAGAATCACAGAAGAGGCCGCTGTGACCGGCGTGTGGGCTCAGTTCTCCATCTCTCCACCTCTCCTGGCAATGCTACGGGCACCTATATCGGTCCATAAATTCCTTTCACCTGAGACCTTTCCGCTCCTGGCAACTGAGAGCCCTGCCTGATGACACCTGAGACTTTCTGAGCCTGGAGAGAAAGCGAGGCGACAGGAGGGGATCTGGAGGCGAGGGCAGGGCTGGATGGGCCCCTCTGAGAGTCAGGCTGCTTCCTTCTGGTGCAAGGAGCCGGCGAGGCATTGGTGGGGATTGGGGGGGGCGGGGGGGGGGGGAGTCCGGAGAATGGTGGACAGCCCAGGGTGTGAATGGACAGCCAGGGCTCCAAGACACAGTCCGGGGTGTGCGGGCTGCAGGGGGACAGTCGGAGGAGCGAAGGGCAGTCTTTGCTCTGAGGTCAGTCCCAAGACTGGGCGGACAGCAGGGTGCACGCTCCTGCGGCGCGATGCATGGGATAAGGACCGCCGGGACTACATTTCCCAGCAGGCGGCTCAGTAGCGTCACTTCCTGCGGCGCCGCGGTACGCGTGTGGGAGTGTACGAGCGAGTGTTTACTTCCGGCCGCCGCGGGCTGAGGGCCGAGCGTGTTGGGCGGCGGGCGCGGCGGGTCCCGCGCAGCCATGGACTGGCTCATGGGGTGAGTCGGCCGGCCGGGCGGGAGGGCCGAGCCCGCGGGAGGGAACTCGGGGCGCGCCGCGGGCATCGCCGGTCAAGGGCATCCGGTGCGGGTGGAGCGGCTGGCCGGCCGGGGCGGCTCCGTGGGGACTGGACTGGGAACCGGGGCGCCGGGCCAGTGACCGGCCGGGGCGCGCGGCGGGGTGCGAGCCTGGGAGCCGCTGCGGCGGGGCGGGACGCGGGGTATCGGGACCGGGAGCGGAGCTGGCTCGGCTTGGGCAGGACCGGCGCCCGCGCTGCCCGCCGCGCTCCGCGAGCCGGCCCAGGGCAGGCCGGCCACACCTCGCCGCTGGGTGTCGGGCGCCCAGGGAGGTCGGACCCGGTGCTCCTCTCGCCGGTAGCTGAGGGGAACTTGCTTCTGGAAGAAATCACTTCAGCACCGACAGAGAGCAGCTCCTTAAAATCGAGGAAAACGAAGCAAAGCAGCCCAACTTGATCTGTCATCCGGACTCGGGAGGAGGGCGAGCCGGGCGAGGCTGGCGGTGGAGGGTGCGGTGGGCGAGGCGCACGCCGCGCTGCGATCGGCGGATACGGGCCCGGGTGGAGTAGGAAGGAAGCGTGGGGCTGGGAGCAGCGGGCTGGGCTTCCCCTTCAGTTTGCTTTTGTGTTTAGCTGGAAATGAGAGAAACGAGGTAAAATGTCACACCGTCTCCAAAAAGTCCAATGGCTAAAGTGATTGTTCTGACCGTTTACTTTTGAGGACCAAGAAGGGGAGGCACTGCTCCATCTGTCCTCAGCTCTCATTTTACTAGCACTTCTCCGGAAGCAGGTTCCTTACTCAGGGGCTGGGGCTGGGGCTGGGGCTAAGGGTGGGGGAGCTGTTGTTATTGGCCTCCGGCTCATGGAAAGGCTTGTCTGGACACTGAAGTCCGGGAAAGGAGGGGGAAGGTCTTTGTTTCCCCTTGCCGGGTATAGGGCAGAGTGGAGGGTGCTGTTGGATAACCAAGGCGATGGGTTAGATCCATCCACCTTTGCCTGCAGGTTGTGTGTAGTCTAGGGAAGGGGTATCCCTGGGGGCAGGGGGAGGGGCAAGCAACTTAAGGGATAAATTGAGAGGCCAGAGAGAAGTACCACATGTGGTGGGGTAGGTGGGGAGCCAGAGTGCAGGGGTCAGGGCAGCGTGTGGGTGATGTTGGGGACCAGCCTTGGTGTGGCCGGCTCACTTGGCTTCTTGGGGAGGCAGCATTGCTACTCAGCCCTGCTGCTGCTAGCTGTGTGACTTTGGGTGGTCACATACCTCTCCTGACCTCCTCCTGTGAAATAGAAGTTGTAGTGCTGGCCGGATGGCTTTGGGGGAGGGTGAGCAGAGGACACGGAGAAGAGCACTGCCACGGTGTTTGGCATTGCTGTGGGCTGACCATTCCTACCAGAGGTGTTTTGTAGGAGGTCTCTGAAGGCTCACGGCTGTGTTTGCCTTGTTTTGAATTGTATTTATTGGGAGGAACTGTATTGGGGGCAACCTGGCCTCCCAGTAAGCCTGTTCCAGCCGAGTACATTCACAGTGCCTGTGTGGGAAGGACCAGCCTGATCAGCTGAGTTGCTGAGGAAGCAGCTGCTGGTATTTTGCCCCTTCTCTGTGAGGATGGCGTGTTCATAGGAAGCAGGTACTCCAGGGCCTGGAAATTGCTCAGTAGACAGTCATTTAACTGGACAGGGACTTCGCTGTCACCTCTGTGATTATCCAGAAACTAACCACAGTTAGGCTTCGAAGGGACTGGTTCTTGAGGTCCTTGCCAAGACCTTGGCACCCAGGCCGTCATCTGTGGAAGGCTTGGAGCACACGTTTCCTGGGCCTCCTCCTGGGGTGCTGGTCCAGGTGCTGGACTAGAGGAAGACAGATCTAAAAGGGACGAGGCTTGGAGCTGCTGCTTCCATAGGCCCCTGGGAAGGGAAGGAGCGTCCTCTCTGCCTGGCTGTGCAGTGGGCAGTTCCAGAAGGACACTGAGTTGTGGGGAGGGGGCGTTGGTGGTTTGCTATCTTTGTGCATGTGTTCTTAAATTCAGTGGGTTGCATACTGGACATTATAAACCACGAATTCTTCCATAATCCTTAACTAGGACCCCCTCCCACTATTTTAAAAAGAGGCACAATCTCTTTTGTCGAGTACTGATCTTCCTCAAGAGCTTGTTTTCAATGTGGTGTCTAAGGATGCTGGAGCCAGCAGGGCCAGGTGCCCCTCCCTCATGTTTATTGAGCAGCTACTGGAAAATAGGACGATGCGAGGCCTAGCTGAAGCCATAGAGTGGGTGAATAGCAGAACTCTGAAGATGTCTCCCACTCGGGTCCACTTCTCACTTAATGGGTCCCTCCACTCCAGGGAGGACAGCTAGCCAGTGGCGCTTGCACCCGTTGTACGCCTTTCGTGCACTTAGCACTGGGGCTTGAGCTGGCCCTCAATACTTCAACTGGTTTCAGCCTGAGAGATGTCAGGAAATGTATTTTTTTATACTTCCTTGCTATTTTTATTAATTCACACCATTCAGTGTCAGCCATGTAGTTTGCAATATAGTTCTGTCTTTGTGTTTTAAATGTTGTTTATCCTGTTTTTCTAAGAAAGAGTTTCTTTGCATCAGTTCATCTCAGGTGACAAAGTATGGACTCCACTAACGTAGCGCTAATGATCCCTCCGGCTGTGACCATTGTCACTGGAAGTACCAGTGTGGCTTTTGTCACTGGAAAGGCTGTGCTGAGTAATGGGGCGGCCTTATCTTCAGCTCTCCCGGCTGCATCTGAGGGAAGGGAGGTCCCTCAGGAAATCTGCTCGGAAGCCAGAAACCCCACCACACGTTGCAGCTTGCCTGTGGAATCTGCCGGCCTGACTCAGAGAGGAGCTTCTTGCTGTGTGGCTTGCGTGCATCTGTGTCACTGTGCATTTCCTGTTCTTGGCCTTGAGCTGGCTGTTGCAGTAGGTGTAGCACTTTCTTTTTCTAACTTGCAAAGGGTCACCGCTCTTGTGTGGTCTGCCTCTTCAGTCCCTGGCTGTCTCCATCCTGGGAAGCTGATGGCAAGGTGGCAGCCTGGACTCTGGGAAGAAAACAGCCCCGGGGGAGGATGTGGGAGGCACGTCAGATTCAACGAGGTCTGCGGCAGCGTCTGGGGAAGACTTGTGCCTTATCCTTAACTGGCAGCTGTGGGCATTTATGAGCGGACGAGAAAAGTGCTGTGTAAATTTTATTGACAGAAAGTACAATGCAGAAGCTTCTAAGCTCTGGACATTCAGAAGAGGAAATGTACTTCCTCCCTCTTTTGACTGCGGGGGCAAACCTGGGCGCCCTCCCCCTGGCCTTGGGTGGGGCCCACAGGGTGATGTTTGCAGGGACAACCTACCCTCTGGCTGGGACCAAAGCTAGGGGCAGCAAGCACACCCCAGGAACCCTCTTCCCCCTTCCTGGGGCTGCAGACACCTTGACATAGCCATGCTCTGCTCCTCCAAGCAGCAGTTGAGATGAGGTGTCAGTCAGAGCTTCCTGGCTCTGGCCAAGGAGACAAACCTACCACAAGGAGATGTAGTGCTGAGTGCATGGCCCTGGGAGCTCTCGGCAGGTTGACCGTCTTTGCTGAGTTGAGTCACAAGGTGTCTGGCCTGTGGCCCTGCCTGCAGGCGTCCTGTGCTGAGTGGAGCCTGCCTGCCTGTATCTCAGGGCTGAGTGGCTGTCGCACGTTGCTTCCTGGGCAGGTGTTGCTGGTGGCTGGCCACTGAGCCTGATTATGAGGGGACCAGACTGAGCTCGCCCCAGTCTCTAGGCTATTTTTGTAACAGCCTCGTTGAGGTAAAATTCACATACCATAAAGTGTACTTGTTTCGAGCATACAATTAAGTAATTTTTAGTGAAATTACAGTGTTGGGTAACCATCACCAGTTTAATTTGAGAACGTTGCCTTCACCCAAGAAGAAAGCCCATGTCCGTCAGCAGTCCCTACCCACTCCTCCCCTGCCCCCACCCCATCCCACTCGTTTTCTCTCTGTGGGTGTGTCTGTTCTGGGCATTACACCTGCGGTCTTCTGTGGCTGGGCCACTTAGTATGACATTGTGAGGCTCGTCTGTGGTGGGATACAGCAGCGCATGCTGCACCCTGAGCCTGCATGTGGCAGCCGCCACACAAATGCTGGCAATGGGCATCTGCCCTGCAGGCCCTGACAGGAGGCATGGGTGCCCGCCTGGCATGCCCTATGTGTCAGGCCGTCCTGGGAGTCATAGTTCCTTGAGCCTCGCCACCCAGCTCTGGGGAGGACTCCCAGCCCTGCATGTAGTGGTGAGGCTGACGTGGCTTCTCGGAAGCCCTGATCCTGGCAGCGTCATCATTGCAGTGAGGTTTGCTAGTGTCAGGGACGCTGATGTGCTGAAGCCCCAGAGGGAGGAGGCACCGAGAGCATGGGTCGTGTGTCCTGTGGTCAGATTGTTACCATGCAGGCTGTCCCTGCTGCCACCCTGCCTGGCCTTTGGGAAGCAGCGTGGCTGCATGCACAGGGCTGCTGCTGGCTGGGGTTCAGACTGGCGGTGCCGTGGGCCCGGGGCTGTGCTGACATTGGCTCCTAAGTTTTCATTCAGAGCAGAGAGGCCGTCCTCTGGGATATCTCTGCAGGGCTCAGAAACGTTTTGTCATTAAACCTGTATTCCTACTGGGATGGCCTCCTACCTTTTGGGCTGAAGAAATGCTGAACTTGCCGAAACCGCTTTGGCTCAATGGATAGAGCATCGACCTGTGGACTGAAAGGTCCCAGGTTCAATTCCGGTCAAGGGCCTGTACCTTTGTTGCGGGAACATCCCTGGTAGGGGTGTGCAGGAGGCAGCTGTTCGATGTTTCTCTCTCATCGATGTTTCTAGCTCTCTATCCCTCTCCCCTCCTCTCTGTAAAAAATCAATAATGTATATATAAATAAATGTTGGACTCCCTGAATTCTTTTTTAAAAAAATATATTTTATTGATTTTTTACAGAGAGGAGGGGAGAGAGAAAGTTAG